AAAAAAAAAAAAAAAAAAAAAATAGGTCAATTTAAGGAGGCAGTCAGTGTAGGGAGGTGGTGAGCTATGGAGGTTCTACTATACACCTTCCACCCACCAAAGCTAATCAGATTATAACTGCACAGTAAGCCCAAAATATTAAAATTCTTTTAAGCTTCCCTAAACTTTATCTTTGTATTATATATAATCCCAAACTTCTACACTTTATTTATTTAGAGACAGAATTTCAAGCTGTTACCCTGGGTGGAGTGCTATGGTGTCATAGCTCACAGCAACCTCCAACCGGGCTCAAGTGATCCTCTTGTCTCAGTTTTTCTATTTTTAGTAGAGATGGGGGTCTTGCTTTTGCTCAGGCTGGTCTTGAACCCGAACCTGTGAGCTCCAGCAATCTACTCCCCATGGCCTCCCAGAGTGCTAGGATTATAGGTGTGATCCACTGTGCCTGGCCCAAACTTCTACACTTTAGAACACTGACTTCCATTCTTTAAAATCTGTTCTTTTCCTGGTCCTCAACTTTTAGACTTAAATAAACTCTCTTTAAACTATATTCTGACCTTTTAACAAACTTGGGTTAGCAACCGCAACCACCCTTTATCGAGACTGCACATTTTCTGCAGAATGTTAAAGTTGGACTTGATGATATCCTTCCACCACCACGTTTCTCTGATGACATTTTGGAAAAGAACAGAATCAGGTAAGATACAGACAAAAGGTTAACTGAGGTTAAAGCTGGGAGCTGGGCTGGAAGAGCTAGACCTTCTCCATTCCTAGGACACAGTTCTACAACTTGAATTCTTTCAAGGATGTATTACTTTAACCTTAGGGATGCAAATCAGGCCTCAATGCAGACAACTTCTCACCTGCCTGGGCCCTCAGTTTCCTTCAAATGCCTTCTTATTATCTCACTGAGAGCAAACCATAGGCTCCCATACTGGCCAAAGCCCACGCCAGCTGCTAAATTCTCTCACTCCATCATGAACTCCTTTTTTAAAAGACATCACTCAAAATGTTTATACAGATGCCAAATATTTATGGACGGACCACCCCAAATTGAGCACAGTTTAATTTTAGAATAAATATTTTGCTTAAATGCTTTACCTTCAAAACTTATGATTATTACTAATCATAGAAGTTAAGCCCTTAGTTCCAAGCACACAAAATAACATCTCACTGAATTTATTTATTTACTTTTTCCGTGTTGTTTGAAGGTTTTGTTGTAGAGGTTTTGGGACCCAGATTTGATCACTACACGTTGTATGCTTGTATCAAAACATCACATGTAAACAATTAAAAAAATTACATGTACCCCATAAACATGTACAACTATAATGCATCCATAAAAACTAAGAATAAACTGTTAAAAAATGAACTCCTTTCAATCAAGAACCACATCTTATTCCCTTGAGGAGGGCACAGGATCTTTCATGTTACAGGAGCCACCAAATGCTGCTACATAAAACCCAGAAACAAGGTTATTAAATGTACAGAAATGGGATCCTGTCAAATGTGAAAACAAGAACTACCTGCCCTGTTTTTAACTGTTTTGAGAGTTATAAAAACAAGCCATCTTAGGTCTTAGAAACTGTGTGGGGTGACAGAAGCCTGAAGACCAGCTTTGCTGTTGCTCAGTTGGCCGAGTCTTACTGGGGATTTCCTCCAAACAGCAAAGAACCATAAGCTCTGGGGAGAGACAACCGTGTACTTACATAAAGTCTGAGTCTCAGATTTCTCATGTGTAAAAGGCATAAAATTAGGTGAAACCACATCAAACTGCTACTTTTTTTTAGCAAAGCAAACAAAATAAAAAGCCTTGCCTTGTGGAGTATATGAAAATAATGACATAACTACAAGAAAACATTTAACATACTGAGTGTCACATCGCACAGGCTCTCAGTAGATGAAAGGTATAACAACACCTTGACTACTATTATTAATAACTGTCGAGGAATCGGCAGAACTATGATAAAAACTAGCCATGTCTTCCCACAGCTGCACTATAGTGCATCTCAAACTCTCTTTAATCCAAGCTCTACATAAGGGGTCCTTAAACTTTTTAAACAGGGGGCCAGTTCACTATCCCTCAGACCGTTGGAGGGCCGGACTGCAGGCCCCAGGAAGAGTCAGCTGCTAAGCAGGACAGGCAGTGGTGCAAAAACACCCAGCGGGCTGGATAAATGTCCTCCGCAGGCCGCATGTGGCCCGCGGGCCATAGTTTGAGGACGTCTGCTCTACACGTTCCCTCGAAGACAGGATAAATTTCGGAGCACTGCCACATGGGACACTAACCACATTCACTTGAATCTGATAAACAGCTATAGATGAGAACCAGCCTCCAACTAACTGGAGTTAAGGACACAGCAAAGAGAAGTTCACCTCACTTCTTCCTGGTCATTTCCATAGTTTTTAGGAAAGAAAAAAAACAGGGAAGGAAAAGGAGAAAATTCCAGGACTTTTTGGAACAAAGGAGATGGTCAGTGTCTTTTTTAATAAGCTTGTGTAGAGGGCGGCGCCTGTGGCTCAAAGGAGTAGGGCGCTGGAGGTGGGGGATTCAAACCCAGCCCCGGCCAAAAACTGCACAAAAAAAAAAAAAAAAGCTTGTGTAGAAATTTGATGGCCAGGAAATAAAATGAAACTCCAAGAACACCGCATGGACGGTCCAGCAAGGGCACCTTTTCTCCACTTCCAAAGACAAGCTGCATATGAGTCTAGCTTAAGTCAACGTAATATATACTTACAGACTTTCTTCACTTGTCTAACAGGTATAGGTCACTTAAAGTGACCGGGATTCAACAGAACCACCTAGTATGGAATGTGGGAACTCTGGTTTGACCAACACCCAGAGGCACCAACAGAGCAACCAAGGCAGGTGAGATACGAATTTATAATTTCTGAAGGTTTCCCTGCCCTTGGTGTTGGGAAGAATGTTTGGTAGAAAGACGAATGAAAAGACTTCAAGTAAGATTTGTTCACATTCACAAAATGATAACTCATCAGACATGAACTCTGTAAGGCACCATTAAAAACTGTCTTCGAAGTTCTGAGTGCTCAGTGAGAAAACCTACTGTCAATGGGAAAGGGGGCAAGCGGGTTCCTGGGAACTGCAAACCAAAATGCATACTCTACAAATCAACAATTCTCTCAGGACTGCAAAGTGTACGTCTTGCAAACTCCAGCACATCTGCACTAAGGCCCAGGGATAAGAAAGTTCACAGGATTGCTCTCAGTAGCCCTAAGGCTGGAACAAAAGGTCCATTGACGGTAGAATGGATACACTGTTATATTCATTCCCATGGAATACTAGACAGCAGTGAAAATTAGCTATAGATACACAGCACACAAATTAAATGGAAAGCCACAAAACACAGATTCCACCCATAAAAGTTCAAAAACAGGCGAAGGAAAACACTACTGCATGCATCGAGGGTAAACCCATGAGGAAAAGCAATGAAATCATCATCACAAAAGTCAAGCTGGGGAAAGAATTACCCTTGGAAATGAACATAGGGTGGGCGGGGGGGGGGGATGCTGGGGTGCTGGCCATGCTCTTTTTGTTTTTATCTGAGTGTTTTATTCATTATCCTTTAAACGTGTATGTCGTATGCACTTTTCCGCATAGGCTAGAAGGGTTAAAAATTTATCGGTAGCCCTGCAAAGATTGGTGCCTCTAAAAAGGCGAGACAAGAATGGTCCACGTCCCCATTACGGAAAGCCAACTCCAACCTCTAGGAGAAGCAGGCCCCAGGGCTGTCGGGGTCCTTACGGACTAGAGAACTGGCGCACACCCTCTCTCTAAGTGAAGTTTTCACCGAGTCGCGGCTCCAGCGATCCAAGAAGGATCCGCGAGCTCCCCTCGCCGCCGGCCAAGCCCACCTAGAACCACCGCGACGCCCTCCACGTCGGCCCTTCCACCGTCTCCAGGCGCCTCCGGACGGAAGCCGGGCGCTTCTGAGGCTCAGACCCGGCTTCCCGGAGGAAGGCGGAGCCCCGGGGGGTCGGAGGCGGCGGCTCCCGGCCTGAGAGCCCCGGCAGCCCGGCGGCCCCCGGCAGCCCCGCCGCACCGGGCCCCGCGTCCGCGCCTGTCGGGGCCTGAGCGGGTGGGCGTGGCGGGCGCGCGCTCGGCGCCCAGGCCGCGGCCGGGGGAGGGGACGCGTACCTCGGCCCGCGGAGGAGCTACCTCGCCAATTCCCGGTGACAGAGGACAGAGACTGTTTCCGGGGACTGCTCCCGCCACCCCTCCCGGACAACCACTAGCTGTCTCTTTTTTAATTTGGAGTGCCGACACAGGCGCACGCGCACTGCCGAGCTTCCGTGAGGCGCGTGCGGACGGCCGAGG